CCCCCCCCCCCACAGCAACTTACAAGGAAATCCTTCCAGCTAGGTTTCAAAATGTGCCCATGGAGCTTTCCAATACGACTGCGCTTTCTGTGAGGCTGGCCGAGTAGAAAGGAGGCTGGCGTGCTTCCTTGCACACACGATTAAGAAACAGTCTCTCCAAAAAACTTTAGTTTCACTGCCGCGAAACAAACTCCTGTATCTATAGTTTCGGGGTTTCGAAACACAGATTTTACGCAGTCGAAAGTCTGTCGCAGACATTACCTTAGCTTCTGCCCATAAAACTAAAGTTTTAAACCTTTGTTTTTTGCCCCCGAAACTAACGAAGTTTCCGTTCCAGAGTTAGTTTGTTTCCCCCCCCCCCGCCCCCCCGGGGGCCGGGGAGGCGAGGTTTGAAACCCTCGTTTTTGTTCGCAAAACAAACAATCTTCTTTGCACGGTGTTTGTTTGGGTTGAAACAACGTTTGTTTAAAACTTTGGCTCGCGATGTATCTCCAGAAGATCTACTGTTCAAATCTCCGGGGAAGGGACTGCAACAGAACTGTTACATACTGGCACAACAGCATTACACTCTGTAGGATTTGAAACTGTAAGTGGTGTCACTGTATTCTGTCTTCCGAGTAATGTGCGAGGTTGCCAGTATTCGTCAATTGGTGAATCAGCGCTTGCTGGCAGCCGGAAAGAAGGCTAAGCTCTATGGCCAGAGTGGAGACCTCGCCCCAGTTCTGACGGATTTAGATAAGCTGGTTGTTGGACCATTTATGGCTGGCGATGAACTTACCGCTGCAGATATCTCAGCGGCTCCAATGTTGCAGCGGCTTTTTGATGACTCACTGGTACCTACTGAATGCAGTAAGCTACATTCGTGGTGGCAGACAATAAATGAGCGGCCAACCTTTCAGAAAACCTGTGTCCGTTCGTATTGGTGGTGGTGGTGATGATAATCTTGAGAGATGTGCGCAAAGCGTGAAAATATGAGTGCGAGCGGTCCAAATTAGCTTACACTGAATCAGAACGATAAGGAGGCCTTGGCAGGACAACATGTTGTTTGGAAGTGACAGAAAACATTCCGGAATTCTGTTCCTTTCTGATTCATTTGAGGAAGCACAAGTCATGCAAAAGAGCGATCATGCAATCTCAAGGGCCATACGAGCTGCACAGCGAGAAGACATTGCAAAATGTTACGTAGATTCGCCACCTGGCTTGTGCCAGGTGCCGCGTGCACGTTTGTTGGGCAGCCCAATGATTTGGCAAGAATGGCGAGCACACAATTTCATTTTTGTGTCAAGGTATCTTGGTGACCAAATCACTTGTGCTTTGTTTGTAAAGGAGCTCATGCAAGGTGCCAGGTCGTCCACCAGCGTGCATGTGCCCAAATAGAACAGCAATCAGCTAGAAGCTTGAAGATTGCAAAAGAAAGACCCACTAGGAGCATTAAGGGAATGACACCTCATAAATTTGTCAAGTAATTCCTGGAAGCATTCAGAGTCATCAGAGTCAACTTGCTCCCTGCCAATTCAAACAATAAGGCATGTTGCCGCCTTTACTATTTGCTGGGCCTATTTGCGCTGGGTAAATACGAGCAATCAGATCGCTTCAACGATGCTAGATTTCTCAATGTTTGCAGCAGCTTGGATTTGATTGCATCAAGGAATGCTGCCGTAACTTACTTTTACAGAATATAGTGCTAGATAGTGAACAGTGCTTTGCCACCGATACACATCCAAGTGTCTTGGGCCGAGCTGCCCAAGCAGTATTTGCTGCAGGTGCTCTATATTCAGCTTTATTCGGTGGACGTGGTCACTGCATACATCCGAGAGGACAAAAACGGCGAAGCTCACCAAATGACTCACAAAATCCTCAATTGTATACTGTATATGGTACGTTCCACTCGGTGATTGGTGGTGTAAGCTCAAGCGGACAGGGTTCCTTGATTGGGCTTCAAGTTCCTTGGCAGTAGAAATAGATCAGGATAGTCTCACTGGATAGTTCTAGGCCTAAGCCATCCATCGCAACTTGAGGTTGGAGGTCCTGAGATGTCAGGACAAAGATACATCATTGACCTTAGGTTGGAGGCTATCGCTATTAGGTGGAGGCCATCGCTAAGAAAAAAGAAAAGAAAGGTGTCACATAGTTGCTTTTATATAGGTTGGAGGCCATTGCCAGTAAGTTGGAGGTCGTGAGATGTCAGGACAAACATACATCATTGACAGCAAGTTGGCCATTCTGGGATGGCTGCCCGATTTGGCTGGAAAAGACCATTAAGTGGTACTACACCATCGCTCAATTTCAGGCGGGTCAGAGAGAAGTATGCAACCATGAGAATTGGTACAGTATACATGTAGGATTCGACATCATCACATTCATTGATGCTGACATAGAAGGTCATTGTGTCTTTGTGTGTACCAAACTTTCAAGGCATGTTCACCAGAAGTGTCCAGCATAGGTGCACAGCCAGCTTGGTCCTTTGCACTATTCTCATGGGAGATTGAAAACATCCAGTCTGGAGAGTGAACCATACTTGGTAGACTTGATAGACTCTGGGAGAGTTGCTGGAGTCAGACTTCATTCAAGTAAGGCCCTGATTGACGTAACGTGCTCCACCATTGCAGCGAAGCTAGGCAAGCACCCTTTTGATCATGACTGGCAATGACCTGTTCGGCAAGTACATGGCGCCTTGGACCGAAGAAAAGATACGAGATTTGCATGTACAAGAGTATGCGTTGAACCAAGAAGCTACTAGTAACAAAGGACATCGCTACTAGAACAAGGACGCTACTAGTAGCTCCCGGCCTTACTACTAGGAACAAGAAGCTACTAGTAACAAGAAGCTACTTGTTCCTAACAATTCGTCCCCAAACCTCCTGACCATGTTTGACAATGTCGTGGACGGCTCTTGCGAAGAGATCAGAAAGCTGTAATGCTGAGAGGATTGATCTGCTCAGCAGCACCAAAAAGACAATTGAAGAAGGAAGCTAAGGCCCCTTTGACTGGGACGTTACCTCACCTTACCTGTTTCATTTTCTTTATTCATCATGTTATGTTGTTTTATAGCGAACATTCGATTGAAATTTTTGTGTGTATAGTGGGTTCAAGCAAACATTGGATGCAATCAATGTTCCCGATCTGAGGTGATTTTCCCCTTCCAGTTTGCTTCCTTTCTGATGACCTTGGTCAGAAAGGGCATCATCACCACCAAAGGATTTCACGCTGGTCGCTTGAAGCAGTTGCTGTGGATTTGGTGTCTTCTCTTCACCCGCTTCAATCGACATATGTCACGGATTGTAACAACTTGTTTGACCTCATTTTGCTTACCCTCATGTGCAAAAAAGACACTGGTGATACATTGAATGACTAACTAGTTCAAGAGCCTGGAATTGAAGATTATTTTTTGCTGCTCCGTCTTCGTTCAGTGCCATATGGTGCTGAAATATGCTGAAATACAAGTCTTGATAATACATGCATAATTATGTAAATCCCAGGATGAACCCTGAACCATGGCTAAGGGTATCTTTGGAGCTTGTGGATGGTGGTTTGGCTGATTCTAGATGCTGATTGGAGAACGACCATCGGATCTTGGGTGGCTTGCCAAACTGAGTGCACAAGACGAGTCTTCCGGGAAAGGTAGAGGGTAGACTTTGGGAAATGGGACCGCAATCCTACAATGATGAACATTACCATGATACACATGTGTATATATGTAAAATGGTGAGCGGAGGATCAACAGCAACTTGTAAAGGCAACTGTCACAACTCAACCAACGGGGATCAAAGAACTCCGTCACGATCAAAAGCAAGCGGTGCGCTCACTTTTCCATTGCGCAACCGTCGGGGGCTCGAATGAGCCAGACTCAAGGGCCCTATGATCCGAAAGGTCACAGGCGGCCGTCATCACATCATATCATGATATGCATGCTCCGATGCATACACAAATTTACACGCCCTCATGGCGGTAGGCTGGGACCGGTCGGTTTCAGCGACCTTTTCAGTCACGCAGCTCCCTGGTGAAGCCATACTTATCAGCAAGACCTTCAAAATCAGGCTTCTTCCATTTCACCTTTTCAAGGTACATGGCAAAGTCCACGGCCTTGGTAATCTTGGATGGCACTTTTCCACCAGTACCATACTTTGACAAAATGAACTGGAGGTACTGACGCATGTCTTCTCCTTTCTTCGAATTCGTGCGGGCCGTCATGATCATTTGATCATACGTGAGGCCTTCAGCCTTCACCTTGTCCATACGACAGATGGTCTGTCCCCATTTCTCTACGGTGTTGATTCCTTCAGGCAAGGGAATCAGGGGATCGGTCACATTGGCCACTGGGAACAAGTTCACCTTTCCAGCTTCATATCCCTTTGGGCTCAAGGCAAAGCGCTCCGGTGTCATGGTTGAACCGGTAGGCTCATTGGCATTCAAGAGCTCCCACGGATTCGAGGCCTGAGAGGTCTCATCGGCGTCCATGCGTCGCTTTGCAGCATCAGTCATGGCGGACATGGAAGCATCCACAATGACCTGGGCTCCCACAACATTTGGTCGGAGGTCTGGACGAATCTTCACCCAGTCGTTCACACGCTGGAGCAACTGTGCACTTTGTCCGAAACGGACAGCTCGATGGAGAAGGCCGGCACACATGCTAAGATCCTGATCCGTCAGTGGTGACCGGATGTGATATTCTTCATCATCGGTCTTTGCTGCTTTCGACATGATCCTGCGGGACTGAATGGGCGACACTTCACGGTCGTGCGCTCCTTGGAGCAAAAAGGCTGTGCAAAATTCGGTTTAACCGATGCGGCACAAGAAAAATGAGAAAAACAACCAGGACGACTCCTCAGCAACGAACTGGTTCGAGGTGGCTGGCAATGGATGGTTTCTCAACCTAACTAACAAATTCTTTTCAAGTTTCACCAAGCGAATGTTGGATTCACTTCACAACATGCGTGCATGGGCCCTAGTGCTCATCTAGTTGACGTTTCTCTGCTTCTGCAGCTCTAGCCTTGGCTTTTTCTTTCTTACCTGACTCTACTCCGGTGTGGATGGTGTATTTCCAAGTGTCAACGAGTTTATAGAAAGGTCCTGTGTCGGCTCGTAGTTTAGTCAACACGTCTGCACACATGAAAATGTTACTAGTCCAAAAGACCATGATGTTCTGCAAGGACATGCTTTCCTTAGCGATGGCATAGTCGATCTGAAGTCTCTTCTCTACGCTAATAGTAGGAGAGCTACACGATTTTGTGACTGCATCGAAGAAACCCTTGCTATCAACAACGAGGCATGCTGTCTTTTCTGGGACTTGTTCTCGGAAGGTTCGAGGCGATCGGCCTTCTAGGATCTCAGCAAGCAGGGATTGAATCCACTCAATCGCATCAAGTCCATTCTGACCGGACATGGTTTCTGCTGCTACTGAGGAACGAACTACTCGTCGTAACTTCTTAGAACTCCAATCTATTATCCATACAGGGGATTCCTTGTTCTTCATGATGTCTTTGGTCGTAAGACATAGGATGTATCCACCTTGACTTTCACCGTTAGCTCTAGTACACCAGCCAGCATCAGCAATACACACGATGTGCCAATCTTTTACTGGAACGTGGCTAGGGAATTTCAAACAGATTTTTCTAGTTTTCATTTCCCTCACGGCTTTGTTGTACAAGTGGACGTGTTCAACTTTCCCCTTATCCTGAACCCCTTGAAGATACGAAGCCAGGAATGCCTGTTCCGGACGTGTCGAGTTCGACACCCAGGCTAACTGACCGGCGCAAGTTCTAAGGATAGACGGATCTGTAAGGGACGTTGAAGCGTTTCCCAAAGTCTTCGTTTCAACATGTTCCAAATTCTCGATGTAATTTTCTTGTCCTACTTCAATTTCCATCGTATTTGGATTTTGTCGAATCTCTACTCCTGTATATCTTATTGTGAAAGTACGATAGTCACCGAACGGCAATTTCTTTCGGAGTCGGTCCAAGGCTTGGTCCATTTCCTTGCAACCTCCACCTAGTAGGTCATCTACGTGTACTCCACATATGCCTTTCAAAGTGTTATCGGACTTACTCCTCAACATAAACAAACATGGGTCCAACTGGCTCTGGGTTAGCCCTGCTTCCTTAAGTTCCCTGGTCAGGCGGGAAAACCAAGCACGTGGTGCCTCAGCCAGGCCGTAGGCAGCCTTCTCAAGACGAAACAGGTCATCTGTACTCAAGTTCATCCATTGTTTGATTTCTGCTGGAGGTCGAAAGTAAATGTTTCTGCAAGATTCATCACCTGACAAAAACGCTGTTTTTATGTCGGCTCCCCATAGCTTCCACTTGGATGCTGAACAAATGGACAAAACAAGGTGCTTTGTTTCCTTACGCAAAGTTGGACTGTCTGTTGCTACTTTTCCTAGGTCCGGGTCCTGCCATCCTACCAAAACTAGACGTGCTTTTGGAGTTTTGGAAGTGATATCAGGATCGGATGACTTTTTCCATACCAAGACCCATCTTGCTCTGATTATTCTTTCTGTAGGAATCCCTCTAGCCTTGCAAAGTGAAGTCACCTTATTGTCAATCCAGCTTTGCCATTCCTTTTGCATAGCTTGGAGAAACAGTTTCTTGTCGTGTGGATCGAGTTTGCGGAACTGGACTTCAACCCTTCTTTGCTTCGCCTTGGACTGGGGGGCAGCTTGCAAGCATTCTTCAAAAAGATTCCAGAGACACAGAGGATTCTCAGTGATGTCTTCGGGATGGACGTCAATGGAAAGTTCGAACACATGTTCTGCCTGCTGCAATCTGGCTGTTACCGCTAGTTCGTCTTCACCAGCTTCTGGAACGGGAACATCTATGCCAGATGATTCGATCTCGTTCGATCGTGAGTCTACTTCAGGCATTACTTCATCGGTGTTATCGGGTCTATCGGATTCGGGCGGATTAGCGTCTGTCTCTGGTTCCAGGTGTGCAGGTACAGCACCTGGGTCAGGCATGAGCTCATCAAGCTCGTTGTGCGTTGGAAAGCCTGACTGAGATCCCTCTTCTTCAAGAGGAACTGGCGGTTCGGTGGGTGCATAACTTGGAGATGAATCAATTTCAACAACCCTCCTACGTTTATCGGCTGGCTCAAGTCTATCCTCGGGGATCTCTTCAAGAGCAACAGCGGCAAATGGCTGCTGATTCAACTCTTGTTCATGCATACTGCCGAGAGGTGGAATCTCGCCTCATGATCTCTTTTGCCAATATTCAGGGGAACGATGGAATCTGCGTCTTATCTTATGTGGTCTACCCTCCGAATCAGGTCTGTCATCGATGGTCTCAGGATGAGGTTCGGCTTCTACATCTTCCTTGAGTTCGAAGTCCTCTGGGCCAGGGATGTCCTTTGTGAGATCATGAAAACGAGCGACGCCCTCCGACAATGATTTACCTGCAGCTTCCGTTTCCGGTGCCAGCTGGCCTAATGCAAGTTCTCTTGCAAGCGCTCGAAACTCAGTTTCGTCTTCGGACATTGGACGGAGGCCTTCTGGTCGACATCTATACAATGAGGGCCGGTTGTGGTTATGGAAGATGTGGCAGTTATTAACTTACTTTTAACCTGCTTATAACCTGGTTTTAACTTCTGCATGTTCGTACTAAGCTGCCTATGTTCCCGTGGTCTGAGTAAGTTTTCGTAAACTATCTTGCGCGTGATAGGGCTCTTGCGCTAAATACCTAACTGCGAGTAAGATTTTGGTGGGTCCGTTAAAAGTAAAAACCGGGGAACTTAGCGGAACTTATCGGAACTTAGTAGAACTTACACACACACACCAATTAATTGACAAAAAGGTAGTCCTTTGGTGAAGATTGCCGCTGTTCGCGGCCTTGTGGGCCGCGACGTGTATATAGTTTTTAGGTTTCTCGTAGAGTGTTCACGCAGGCGCCATGATCAGAAAGTTTTGCGCAGCGCGAACACTCTCATGCTTGAGGGTTCAATAGAACAGGCCCTTTTGTTTGTTGCGTCCGAAGGTTCAAAGCTCGTTGTTCTGCATGTTCCAGACCATTTCAGCTCGAAGGGCGCTGAAAGCTTGGTCGATCCTTCGGATGCCGGGCCCGAAGACATTGTCTTGGTTGGAGAAGCACAGGGCTTGGCGAAAAAACAAGAAGACGCAGAAGCTCGAGGACGACCAGTCTATTTGGGCAGACCCTCCTGATGTTGTTCATTTGCCTGAGTGGCCGATCTTCGTTCGACCTGGCGAGAAGAATGCTTTGGCTGAGAAGGCGTTGAAGCTTGGCCACCCACCTGTGATAGTGATCCCATCAGGAGATCGGAATTCGCCAGGGTGATCGAAGGCCCACAAGTGTATTCTTCAGGCAGCACCTTCCACTTGCAGTTGCAAAAAAGTTTCAGTCTCGTCACTCCAGTTTTGTTGTTGCACGTGTGAAGTATTTGCAGCCGAAACATGAACAACCGTGCATGATGCCATTTCATTGCCCACAGACGCTCGGGGCTCCTGGCCTTATACTATGTATACTAGGAGCGATCGGACGCTATAGCCTTATATATACTACTATAGGAGCGATCGGACGCTACTAGGGGCTCCTGGCCTTACTATAGCGTGCAAATAGCGTGCAAATGACT